CTTACAATAATAACTCTGATATTCCATAATTTTCTTCGGAAAAGGCACTTTGTGTGAAATCATCTTACTATGAAAAATAATAAACAAAATAGTTTATCATTATATTTCTTCGCGCGTAATTGTATTTTTTATATCTGAAGTCATGTGAGGTCAATTTCACGACTTATTAGTCGCTAATCTTACGTATGCATATAATACATACGTTTAAGAGAACGTTTATAGAACGTGTAATTATTGCACATTTCGAAACACTGGTCGCTATATTTACGTGAACAGATTAAAAATAAACACTGCTCCTATTTAATGTATTTTACATCGTTATTTAGTCGTTCGTGAATAATGTGTGAAAAAGGAGAAAACAAAATGCTCTAATATCCCTTCTGTGCGATTCATAGAAATTGCGAAATTCTGGGTTTATCAGCGAGCTCAGTTGATTCTACATTGATTCAGATTGCATTCACAGTGCATCGCATTCCACGATGAAAAGGCATATAACTTTTTGAATGTATTCCAATTAAAAAGTCAGAGCTTCGTTATAATCCTGCTCCCAAACCGTCGTTCATCTTTCTCACCTTTTTTTTCTGATCCGAGACTGCCGACTTCTTTTATTTCTGGTTTTTGCCTTTCATCAAAAGAGAAAAGACGAAGGAAAGAAAGAAAAAAAAAGCAGAGAAAAAGAGAGGGAAAAATCGATACATGCAGATTTTTCTCCTGTAATTACATCGCTGTCTGCTCTAAAGAATTAGAAACTTTCGCGCATCGCTTTCTTCCTTACGCTTTTCGATTATCGACTCGCCTACATATATACATATATTAAAAAATTTAAATTAGAAAATTTATTTGTCGTTTCCGGTAAGAGTTTCTGTGATAAAGACAAGAAGCATAATATAAATATTTTATCTGTTTAATTCAGTAATTCTTTTTAACTCAATAATATTGTTCATTTTGAATACTTTATTGACGGATGATTTGTTATACAATTTTTTCTTATTCTTGCTGATTTCTTATCTCAAAATTCATATTGTTTCTTATAATGAAAAATCTATAAAGACATAACACTTACTCTCTTTAGAATTACTTAACAAAAGTTTTTGTTGGCTTATCATTCTTGTGCTTGGAAAAAAGTTTTATTGAACAGTGTAATCATAGTTCATGTGATTGGCGAACAACAAGAAGATTATGCACTTCTCAATGTTCAAGAATGTAAAGGAGTTATGTGAAACAAGGCGAAAAATTTCTTTTCCACGTACAGGAGTCATCCCTTATAGCGAAGTATTTAACAATGCACTATGAAGATGCACTACACAAAGACAGCCGAAGAGGAATAAAAAGCACGTGCCCAAGTACCAACACGACTTACGCACGTATGTACACGCGTGTGCGCGACTATTCGTCGCAATACAATACGCACGTGGTCGAACACCACTTGTCTCACGTATTCCGATTATTAAAATAGAATATATATATATATATATATATACGCCTTTATCAAAGCCAAGGGAGAATTAGAATTCCCCCTTGACTTTGATAAAGGCATATATCGATCATACATCAAATTATGGAACTAGATAAAAATATTAATGTGCATGCAAAATTATATAATTCCGACGGAAACTTTCACATATTGTTTTCAAGATAATATCTTATATAAAAGATTATATATATATGTGTGTGTCATATAGAAGTATATTATAAATTTACTTATATCATCGTTCTATTAGTATAATTTTTACTTAAAATTAATCAAGTGAATTTTTATATATATTTAGAAACTTTTTTTTAAACGATTCTTTCGTTTAGTTATAAAATTTAATTTGTCAAGCTCTTTAATTCGTTAACATTGTTAAAGTTAGATATTTTGTTATTGGAGAGAACAATTATCATGTATAAGTGCAAGCTGCAATGTTCGAGATTCGCTGATTGTATAAGAAACTGATGCCGTACAATATTCATTATGCTAAAATAACTATGAGCGGACTCCGTTTGTTTTATTCTCTGACAATGAGAAAACATGGCACGTAAAACCTAAATTGTAGAAATTTAAAGGAATGAAATATAAAAGAACAAGATTTTCTCCTTTATTCATAAATTTTCACATTCGAAGTTGAATCGATGCCTTTCATGTCAAGTATGGGGATCGCTCGAAATTTATTTGATTTTGACTATTCTCATGTGGAAGTGTTCTTTCCATTTTCTTATTTTCTGTTCTATTACTCTTGGGAGAAAAGAAGCAGAATTGTATAGTGAACTACATTCGCACTTGCTTTTTAAATTTTGTGTAAAAATGAAATGATTTAAAATTAATTATTTATATATCACGTTGTTCTTATACATTAAATAAATTTATTTAAGTCAATTGCAATTTTAATATAATATTATATAAGATTTAATTATATAAATCAAAACTGATAAAATTTTTCAAGAAATTGACATTGAGAATTATATGTACACTCTTTTTTAATTATAAATATTACTATTTTATTTTTAACGTAAAGCTCTTAAGGAATTTTTGTTAAAGAATTTCTTTTTATTTAGCCTGTACTTACTGTATGAAACAATTTTAAAATAATAACATAATTGTTTAAACATTAAGATATAGATATAATAAATGCAAATTCTTTTAGCAAAAAGATCTTTGATTTTCTTACGCGTGATTGCATTTTTTTCAATCGCTAGAATATACCTAGATATTTATCCAATAAATCATTTGTATATTGATTGCCTCTCTCTTGTGGCAGTTTCTTTTTTTTTAATTATTAACGCGAGTAAGTTCGGCATAAAGTCATTGTGATAATCACATCAGTTGTTGCGTATTCTCTCGTTGTTTCTACGTAATTAGATTTACTACACATGGCAATTCCAGTCAGCACAAGCACCGTCGAACTACTTGACATGTATCGGTTAGTTTATTCGTTCTTGGTCACGTGCCTATCGCCACGTGTGCACTTTATTTATAAGAACATATATCCGTTAATAAAAAGGAGATCAAAATATAAAATAATAATGAAATGTACTGGAGCACTTTGCTTTTATCTTTGAAATTGCCCGAATCAGCTTTAAGGAACAACAAAAGATTTGTGGTCAAATTGGAGACGAAATTTGTGAATTTATTTCAGGGAAAGAAATATAAATGGATGCATTTCTCCGTCTAGGCAATATTTACTCCTATAATTATTTAAGATGTACAAAATTAATTTGTTATATAAATCTTATTAAAAATATAAGCACGCTATGCAGTTTTCTTATTAAATACAAGTTCGAAAATTTATGTCTCTCGCTTTTCTATAATTGTATTATCTCTAAGGAAGCATTTTCTGCTATTCTCTGCTATATCTCTGGTCTAGGTTTTTTCAAGACACTTTGCTAAACCTAAAATAGACCATTATTAGAAAAGTGTACAACATAGTAACAATATTTAAAACATAACTTCGATTAATATTGTTATCATTTTATAATAACACTTCTAATAGTCTGATTTAGATTTAATCCGTAAAACAAAGTGCATTCTAAGGAAAACTAAATCAGGAAATAGCAGATTCTTAGATATCTTTCGCAACATGTATGTTATCTGGGTTGCTTCCTTAGAAGCCACAGAATCGCGATAAAATGCGAGGCACTTGAAAATTTCGGGCTTATCTTCCATGATAGAAATATATTTTTAGTAAATTTTGTATTACAAATTGTATTACAATTTTCTACATCTCAAATATAGCAATTAATTATAATATCTAAACAAAAAATATAAAATATATTCATTTATTTCGCTCTCTGAAATAAATTTGTAAATTTCGTTTTCGATTTAATGATCTCTAACCCTTAATCAAAGCAGGAAGCAAGGTATCAAGCATGTTAAGTAAAGACTAACTTACATTGAAATTTTCGATCGGATTGTAAGCATGTTTTAATAATAATTTATCTATCTACAATAATTTTTTATTTCGAAAAAAGTTTTTTATAAATATTATCAAGTTGACGAATAACAACAATCAATTAAATCAAATTACTATATATATATATATATAATAGCGCTCGCTTTAATTACTTATATGCTCAAACATTATACATTAGATAATTAATAATAGATATTACTTTCATTCACATGTCGAGATTACATCATTTAATTACATTAAGTGCTAAAGAATCTACAAATTGTTACTAAGGACCGATTGAACCAATGTTACTTTAAGCGAGGTTAATAAAACTCTCATTTTCTCTCTTTAAAGCCGAAAAAAGGGAGAGATAGAGAGAGTTTTAAGCCCCGCGTAAAGTCAAAGTAAAATAGTGCAACCGGGTCTAAATCGCATAACTTATTAATTGTCAATTAAACGTGTGCCTCTGATTCCAATTTATGTATATTATGAAATCATAGCTTATTCTTTCATGACAATTGCAGTTTTTCTTCATTATTTATTTTTTAAATGCAATATATTAATATCGCATCCATCGTGACATGTTATAATGGTATTGTAACATTATTATAGCTGGATATATTATTAACTGGAAATTATTACAATATCAACTGGAAATGGAAATTCTATCAAAGTGATGTAAACTTCCATATTAATGTTAAATATTACACTGAATTCGATATGTGAAAGGTAAGTTGCTACGATTACTGAAATTCCGTAATTATATATTTACACATTTTTTTTACCTTTATTTAATGTCATGGAAGAAGAAACGTGAAAAAGAAACGATTACAGACTTTTTAAACATAAAAATATTGATAACATTCAATATGCTAAGACTTGACAGTATGCAGATATAGATGTAATTAAAGCAGGATAATTATAATTTATGTTTTTGTTCCTCTCATTTTAAAAAATCTTTAAATCAAAGCAATATCTCCATATTTTAAATATAACATTATAAAAAAGCGATAACGTTAAAAAGAAAAAAACAATAGTATATATGTCTCTCTTATTAATAAATTGATTTATTAATCCAAATCTTTTCAACCAATTCACTATAAATTTGGAAAATTCCGAAATAATGAAAGATGAATCAAAGTTTTTAGAAACACTGAGTTAGCTTAGCACTCACGGCACAAGTAGTTCGTCGAAATGTTTCTTCAGATCTCTGAGTTAAATTGCTCGTTCTGATTCAGAAATAATCTTGAGATCTTCAAGATTACACGTGTTAGAGGGGACAGCCAGGGACATAGGTGACGTTGCGGAAGAGTGCGGCCGCTGTCGAGAGAAACGCTGCCGTAGAAGCAGTGGATGCTGCTGACGATGGCGGCGGCGGTGGTGGCGGATGACTGGTTTGCGTTTGTGAGTTATATGGTGAACAATAAGCATCCATGCTGCTGTGATGAAGACCCACGCTACGTACCAGAAGATCTTTCTCAACAGTAGCTTGATGACGCAACTGCTCTAATCGTAATTGATTCTGCCGTTTCCACTTCGTCCTGCAATGAAATCGCAGTGGCGCAAAAAGCTCCTTCCAGTCTTATTTCTTTATCATACGGTAAATTTTTGTCTACCTTCTATTTTGGTACCAAGTTTTTACTTGGGTCTCTGAGAGCGATAAAGCGTCCGCGACGTCGCTGCGGTCCGCTACACTGAGATATTTTTGACAACGGAACTTCCTTTCGAGATAAGCCAACTGAGCGTGAGTAAAAGCGGTTCGTCGTCTTCGTGGTTTCCTGCTAGTTGGTGGTGCGCTATTGACCATCACCCCACAAGATTTCCCAGATGTGGTTGCCAAACCGGGCGATGGTGAAAATGCCGGTGGAGGACTTCCTAGACGCGTGCAAGGGCTGCTGCCAGGATCGATAGTGTCTTCGGAATCCGAATGGACCATCGAATCGTTCTCCGAGTCTTCTGTAACATGTAAAACGTATACACTGAGAAAAATGATTTGATTACATCAATAAGACATTTATAGTTGAATGAATTTGATAAAGCAGAATTTCTAGTTATCATGATAGGACTGGATATTTAGTAATTAGAACGTTTGATAGACCTAAGTTGGTATTCATAATCAGTTCTCGGCTGCGTTCCATTATTCACTGCAAGTGAAAATCTATAGAGCACGTTACATATATAACTATTGGTATTTTCACTACTGGCAGTGTAAAGGCCTAAATACAAAGATGGCTGTAACTAAATCATAGAAACATAAGTTGTAGTTGTAGATTGATCCATGATGGAATTATGATTCTATACCATGGGATGATCAAAATATTGTGCGTTGATCTAACGATTATAAGATTCACGTTTCGTGGCTTGGTTCATTATGATCATCTTTGTGGTTCTACATCGGAACTATGGAAGATGATCGGAACACAGTCCTTATATATTTAAATCATGAAGTAAGAGTAAAAGTTATGGTAGAGACATAACTGTCGAAGCCATGACATAGGATGAAGGCAGAAAAAACAAATGTACGTTGTGACGTGAAAATTTTTATCTGTCACGGTCGCTACAATTCAGCGAGGATCTACGTTCTCGAAGCGCACATGCGAGCGCTAATTATTTGTTTTCATCAATTGTTCGTTATAAATTACTTTTTCTAATTTAGTTCTGAATTTAGAGTTTTGTTGGTAATAATGGACCATGATTAATGGTTGCCCTATTCTTTCTGTACTCTCATCGTAACTGGGAGGAGGAAAATCCGTTATATGGACGTCGCTTAATTCTGTAAAGCCGATCGCGAGATTTTTTGCGTCGGGTGAATCGCGCATTAAGGATTCTAGAGATTTCGAGCAACCGACCTTCGCGTATAACGATGTGTGAGCCGCGCATGCCATCCACCCGGACGCCACTTTTAGGGTAACTCCGGCAAATATGCCGCACTGGAATTTACGCCACAGAAGTCAGAAAAAATAGGAGGAGTGAAGGTAATTTTCCTGCAACTCTGTTACATGCCTTTATGTTATATGAATATTGTGTTATGATTTCAGTTTCTTACTGTTGATAATAATTAATTATTATGAGTTGAATCGATTCGTCACTGTAATAAGTAGCGCCATCATAAATTATAATCTATAATACATAAAATGTACTGTAGGGCATGTAAAAGACTTAGTGGTTATTTCGTGAAACATACGTGTAGAGGAATAAGTAAAGCATGTTTTATAGCAAAATACAAGTGTTTTGCTTTCGTATTCTTCGTTTAATTTGCTGTCTTGTATATCCCACCTGTTTGGGATATACGGCATTTTTAGCGGATGGGATTTATGCCCAAAGCATATAAAGTGCGCAGATTGAATTCAGTGCACTATGCAATAAATATATTACATAAAATATGTACCTCATGTCATAACACTTGTAATATATGTAGGAAGATTGAAATTATTATTTATTACTTCATATACATATTTATCCTTATTCCTTAATAAAACTTTATAAACGTATTTTATAAGTTACTGTGTCATTTTACGTCTTATTTATATACACTACGCAAAAAAATTAAAGTATCACTTAGTCCATCCCCAAAAATAGGTAAAAATTCAGAAAAGTGTAACTTCGTAAAAAATAATCATAACGAAATTTTTAAAATAGCATTTTAAAGCATGAAATCTCTACTTTCGAAATCGGTAATTGATATTTCGATTTGATTGATTTTTTACGTAGCTATACGAACAGAAATGGGTATCCGTCAAATCTGAAAATTTTGTACAAATTTTACAAAA